AATTAACATACTTACTATGTAGAAGAGTCTTACATAAGAAAGAGTATTACAATTTAAAACAATTTGCAAAATTCTTGTTTATTATAGGGATTAAAAAAACAAATATGAGAGCCCAATATTTTGAAGGATTTGCTATTTTTAGTTACAAATTGCCATAAGTGAAAACAAAAAAGAGGCTAGCCAGATATTTTGGCATTCTGTGTTGGTCTCATAAGAAAACACTGCCTTTTTATGTTCTTTTAAGAGAACTTTCCAGACGGCTGGTCTTTTATTTTATCAGTTGACTACCCACCCCCCAGGATCCCCCACCTCACCCCCTGCCCATCTTATGGTGTTGTACTCTGGCTTTCAACTGATCACCACGAGTATGTCTTTGTTACAGTAAACTGACTGTGTTTATTATAATCAAAAATAAAACACAGCTTGACTTGCGTTCTAAATGTGCTTGAAAAGAATATGATACTGTTTAGAAGAGAAAAGGTTGTTCATAGGAAATCAACACCACTTCAGATATTGAAACATTCCCTTTTTTACAGCTTGTCACACTTTGTGCCAAGTCATGACTGTTTCCCTAACTCTGTTTTGTTACTCTCAGCACCATGTGTTTTGGGTGCCTTGTCATAGAAATTAATGCAAAACAATGCTCGGGGACTACAATAAAGCCTTCTATGAAACCAGCTTGGGAATGCAGGCTAGGAAAACAATCGTGGTTAGCTAGCCACCGAAACCATGTGTTAACAAATATGTTTCTTTTGAATTCTTTACTTTTAAACACCTGACATATAAAAATTGTCTCTGTGATGGAGTTTTCTTGGTAGATTTCTCCTGCCTCATCCCATCCTCTTCTGTCATTACCCCCAAGTCCAGGAGTTGCTTCTGAAAACAAACAACTGAATGTGCACATTGTCATGAATGGAAATGTATTTTTATAGAGCGGTAAGCCAATGTTAAACTGTCAGTTCGTCAGCAGTATTAGACAAGAAATTAAACTACTTAATCAGTGAGCTTGTGCCTAGGCTGTTAACAGACCCCACGGTCTCTGAATTGCTTTGCCTCTTTATTTGAACTGTAAGCGCTTGCCGGTGCTATTCTCCTGCCCATGGGGGAACCAATCGCGTTTTATTTTGTTGCCTAGAAGTTTAGAAGTTGAGCACCATGCTTGTTGCCAAGCAGCGAGATTTTGCACCGCAAACCTCACAACTGCAAAGAGCCTTCAGCATGCTCAGAACTGGTTCGGGGGTTCACGGTTTCAGTAGAGGGAGTGCACTTAAGGTTCTTATGACTGGGTTTCCATGGCATGCCTTTGGGTCCAGCGAGACCACTGTTTGGCACCCCCACCCCCACCAAGGGCGTCTGTTGTCCCCTCAGAGGAAGGCTGGCTTTGTGACTGGGCTTCCTTCGTTGCTCTAGTGCATTTTTCCAGAAATGGAGATTTGTGATTTTGACTAGATGGAGGAGTGGGAGAAGGTGGTGTTGACCAGAGTCATTGTGTAAAAATTAAAAGAA